CTGGTGTGGCAAGAAGCACCTGAGCCCCAGCCTGATGAAAAGAACAGAGGACAGTGCCTTGAAAACCTTAACCTACCTAGGTCTAGTCATACGATGGTAAGATCTGGAGAGACCAGGGGCCCCGTATTAGTTTCTGTGTCTCTCTGCCCATTCATACACACATTGGCTTCTTCATTCCTGGGAACTTTATTAGTGTGTTTAAGGTATGCTGTTATCACTGGCCATGAGTGTCCTTATCCCAAGTCTTCTTGGTTAACTGCTCTTTATTTTTCACACTTCTGTTCCCATCTTCCCTTGTGAAACCTAGCCTGTACTCTCCAAGTGTTGTCCAGATCTGTTTATCAAATATGCAATGGTTGCCTTCTATAGACCAGTTAGAGAGCACTGTGTTTTATACAGAGAGAAGAAAATGAAATTAAGGTTCTTCTTCTTGCCATATAAAGAAATTCATTGCAGATGTATGAACTGTTGGAAAGAATATAAAACTGAACTATTAGAAAGTTTAAGAACATAACTCTAATGTTAGAACTCTTCCTTGTACCCTACAAATAAATATACTGCTTTAGATAACAGTTATTAAAAAAATAAATAAGTACTAGAAGGCTTAGAAACAGAGCAAGGCAAGAAGCTCAGATCTTCTGGGTAAAGATCTACAAATTTAACTACATAAAATTTTAACATGTCTCTATGTCTAAGGGCACCATTAACAAGTTAAAAGAAAATGAGAGAAAATATTTGTAATAGGTATTATAAAAGATTACCGCCTTTTATACAATACCCGTCTCCTTAAAATTGATGTGAGAAAGAGAAGAGAGGCTAGGCTAGGCTAAGTATGTAAACAGGCAGAAAAGGAGAAGTCAGGGACACTAAAATACGAGATACACTGAGGCATACTGCATGGAACCCCAGTCCAGGATAGTGGCTGTGCCTAGGGAGGGACAGAAGAGACTGGACTCAGGGAAATGGGGAAGGAGAGGAAGGGGGTGTCAGGGGAGCCATTCTTTAATTACGTGTAGGTGAGAGAGGGAGACATATATGCTACTGTTTATACACCTATACCCCTATACATATAGATATATAGATACATTGACTGCCTGGTTGTTTGGTGTGGAATTAGCAAAACACACAGAGTGCATGGCCTAGTCCATACTCATTTATTCAGCCTCATCACAGTCTGTCTCACGTTACATTTTCTATTTCAGCTACCTATAATCGTAACGGTCCTCTTGCAGAGCTCTGCCGAGGGTGAAATACAATACTGTAGAGAACATCTGGGTCACAGAAGGTTCTCAGTTGATATCAATGCTCCTCCCGATGGCCTTTCTCTCTTAGTCTTTCACCAGTTTCGTCTTGTTTTTAAGTGATTTTGTTATCACTGATAGGCTGAGAGCTTTTCGTCATACTTTTTAACCTCTGCATGGAATCTTAATTCAGGACAGTGTCCAGAGAGGGAGGGAAGAGGTTGGAACCCAGGTAAAGGAAGAGGAGTCCTGTAATCCCTTCCTCCTGTCCATCCTCCTTCCCTCCCCCCCCATCCCACTTTTTTGAAATTTTCCAGAAGAGAGAAACAGGAAGAGGGAGAAAGCACCCCCTCACTGGGGCATGGTCATACTGCCAAACCTTCTCCATCCTGTTGAGCTGTCATTTGGGCCATGCACATGCACCCAGGGGACTGTCAAGCCACTGGGACCAGATTTGACCACAGCTGGGCCTGTGGGATCTAGCTCCCTTAACCAGTAGGCCGTGGGGCCTGTCCTGTAATACTTTATTTTTGAAGCAGGTGGTAAGTACCTAGGTATCCTGTCGATCTAAAAATCTATATATTTTATTGAAATATCATTTCAAGCTCTCAGAAAGCCTGTATCCTTACGTTTACTTCGGAAGTGCTTCTTTTCTAGCAGTTAAAAAGAACAAGCAGCCAAATTCTTTTCTCACTGGCCTCTAAAACCAGAAAGGGCTGTCAGATGAGACAGATTCTCAGTGGTGGGGTTTGCCCTGAGAGAAGTGTCCAGGGTAGCTCTGGCATGTGAGGGAGGCCCGTTGTCTGCTGGGCTGATGTGGCCTGCCTTTTGTGTTCTGAGCTGCTTCTCTAGTGAACTTGGGCAGTAACCAAAGCTGCATTTTTATCTTTTTTAATATCTCACCCTGAAGTGCTGACAGCCACTGCAGGCATCATGAATTTTTAATGTGGTGGTGATTAGAGGCTGCTGGGCCCTCGTTTTGTCTGACCCGACTGCTGTGACAGTTGTTTCCTTTATTGCCTTCAGATTTCCTGGGTTACCCTCCAGTCCAGGCTCCTGGGCTGCATCATGAGTGCCCATTGCTTCCATGCAGCTATTGAGGATGTGTTTGAGGTGGAAGTTTTAAAAAGACTTTATCTCGATTTTTAACAACCTTGGAGATATCAAGAGGGAATGCTTCTTAAATTCCTGAAAATGGATTTAATGAATCCAAGTTAACAAATGTGTACTGAACCCTAGCTTCGTAAGCCTAGCTCTCCAAAAAGTCTACAGTGTGTGCTAAGTTGGGACACAGAAATGAACCAGAGGTGGTACCTGCCTCTTAGACCAGTGGCAGGGGGAAATGTGTGCATCTGCAAACATGATGTGATGTAGAGAATACTGCAGTAGAGGTCCAGAGAAGTATGGGCAAGGAAGGATTATGTTCAGCTTAAGGGAGACTTTATAAAGAAGTGGCATGTGGATTAAGCCTTTTAAAGATAGGACTTTGATAGTTATTCATTTGGTAATACATTCATTCAATAAATAGTATGCCTCTCCTAAAGACATTCCTACAAATCCATGCTTGTGTGTACACAACATAGGAAGAAGGAGATGGAGAATAGAGTACAGGCTCTGAAATACTTCCATGCAAACCCAACACACATCTCTGCTCACATTGCCTTGGTCAGAGCAAACCATACCCCATGTCTTACTTCAAAGGTGCAGAGATGTCCAGTGCTCCTTGCCAGGATTGAAAACCTGGATGTCCATGATGAGTGAGAACCTCTTCCACAGGAGCTGAACGATCTAGTGCAGAGTTTAACCGGGCCACCTCAAGTCCCATGCTGACAGCATTTTGTAGCCACAGAGTCCATTTGGAAGCTTTGGCAGTGATTAAGGCATGAGATGATGTTGGATAGGTTGACAGCAATGACATGGCAAGACACTGTCAGATTTGGCATATATTTTAAAGACAGAGGCAACAGCATTTGCCAATAACTCATATCTGGGGTATGAGAAAGAAAAATTGTGCTGTAATGGGTTTCGGTATGAGCAACTTTAAGATTTGTATTTGGTGTTAACTGACAGAGACTGGAATAAAGAGGTTTGGGGCAAGGGTTTGATTTTAGACACGTTAAGACTGAACATAGTGGACATTCAAGTAGAGCTACTGAACAGGCAGTTGGATAGTCAGTATTTCAGAGGTAGGGTTGTCTGGGCCAGGGATATCAAGTTGAGAGTTGTCAGCGGATGCAAAGCATTTAAAGTACAAGGTATTTTAAAAACACCAAGTATTTAAATCCACTTAAACACTAAATGAGATCCCAAGACAGTGAACAGAGACGGGGGGTGGGGGTGGGGGGCAGAGGGAGACTTGGGGTCTCTCACTTGAGGTCAGAGAGATAAAAAACTAGCAGAGATAATGGGGAAGAGCAGCCCTGAGGTAGGAGATCACTCCAGACTGTATGAAGTCCTGAAAGCCATGTCAAGGGAAGTGTTTCAAGGAGGTGGATGGTCTTATTTGGGGAGCATTCACTCTTTTCAGAACTTTTATGTACTTGACGTCAGCTTATCAGCCCCATGGTCCTATAAGGTAAATGTTAGCTTCATTTAATAGGTTGCTTAGGTAGGGGACATGTATTCACAAATACAGGATTAATGCCTCTTCCATGCCAGCTAGAGTAGCAGGCATGGAAGTTAAAAAACAGATAAGGTGGGGCCGCTAGATAGTGTGGTGGTTGGGACTCCCACAAGGCATTGGACTCCCACATGGCTGACCACGGTTCATGTCCTGGACCTGGTGGCTTGCTTTCTCGCTTCCTCTTTCTTTCTTTGTCTCTCTCTGAAAAAACTGGAAAATAATAATGATGATAAAGTTAAATAAAATAATTTTTTTAAAATAAAGAAGTAATCAAGCTAATAAATGAGAAAGAAAAGACTATTAAAAAAATAAGAAAAAAAGATAATGTAGCAGCTCACATATGGTGAAACCAGACTTCAAACCCATAGCCACCTGATCCAAGTCTGCATGTTTTACACCAAGAGATAGGATCTGAAAAGGATATTACAAATCCCATTCCTCAGACCTGGGGGTTAGACAGTTAAGATGAAGATTATTTGTGTGAGAGACCAGCAGTTAGCGTAATGGCTATGTCGCCGGACTTCCATGTAGTCGACCACGGTTCGACGCCTGGACCCGGTGTCTTAAACTCATGCCGGGCACATATGTGTGCGTGCCCAAGATCCTAACAGGAGAATGGAGAAGGGATTGCGGCATGGCCATCCCCCCTGGAGGGTGATTTCTTGCTTTCTGTCTCTCTCTCTCTCTTTCTGGTGAGCTCATGTGCCCTATAGCAAAAACCTCTCCAAAAAGGAAAAAAAAAAATAAGAAAAGATTATTTGTGGGAAAAGACACTCGTCAATACATGTTGATTTTTCTTTTAAAGTCCAAAATTGATTTCTCAAGGAAATTTTTCTCCTCATTCTGATAATCATAGTTTTTTAATGATTTGAAAACATGGTAATTTGGCCCTCAACCCTTGAGGAGTCGGTGGATTAACTGAGCTGTAAATGAGGTAGAAGTTTTTAAAGAGAAAGGGGAACCCTCCTCTGATAGAACATTCAGCATACCGCCAGCCACCTTCTGGACACACTCAATGAATAATTGACACTGTTCCTCCATGCTTGCCTTTGACGGTTTTTAGTGATCATTGTTCAAAAATAACTCTTCATTGTGACAAATAATAGCTTAGACTCCTCTTTCTTCTTCTTTTTTAGATCATGTACAAAATGAAGAAAACTATGCACAAGTTCTTGATAAGTTTGGGAGTAATTTTTTAAGTCGAGACAACCCTGATCTTGGCACCGCTTTTGTCAAGTTTTCTACTCTTACAAAGGAACTGTCCACCCTGCTGAAAAATCTGGTAAGCCATTTCACATGTGATTAGAATGAACAACAGCCCGGCCAAAGTATAAGATCTTATAAAAAGAACAATTCAGTAATCCTGCGCCTAACCCTTAGACCTGGGGTTGAAAAATTAAAGTAAAAAGCCTTTTAGTCCTAGGTGTGGAGGTCATGTTTACAGAAAATTTTATCGTGAAAGTTCTAGAATTTGCCTTTGGCCCAACTGGTGGCTCAGTGAATTTACTGAAGTTGATGAAGCTGAGTGCAACTTCTTAACCAGAATTCTCTTCTTCATTCTAACATCAATTTCTTTCTTTTTTTTTTTTTTTTTAAGTCTTTGCTGTAGAGCATGTGCAATTGCAATTGCTAGAGAGAGGGACATAGAGTGGGAACGTGAGAAATTACCCTCCAGGGGCTGCATTGCCTTTACCATTCTCCTCTTGGGATTTTGGGCACTCACACACATGCCTCCCACCTGACGTTTCAAGCTGCCAGGTCCAGGACTCAGACTGAGGAGTTGGCTATATGGGATCCAACCGCCTTAGTCTCTGTGGCCCCTCCATTTTTTTTAAAGATCCTTTGACAAATTTCACTTTCTAATTGGTTAGAGGAGTGATGGTGATGTCTGTGTCAAACGTACGTTGGAAATTCATATTTCAGGTATTAAATCTCACCAGTATGGAGATACTCGTGCATGTTGGTTCCCGATTTACAGATAATAAACCTCTCCTAACTCTCCACATCCTTCTTATTCCCCACTAAGAAAAAGTGAGATTTAGGGAACCTTGGCTTCAGATGCAGATGACGAGAAGAATCTTTGATCGTCAGGACACTGGAGAGGTTGACCCCCAGTGTCAGAGCTGGGGTGGGAGGTGGAGACTCAGTTTGCCTGGACATAGTGTGTGAACATCGCCATGTTGGGCAGTCCCACCTCCCTGGCCTCTGTCTGCTCATCTAGAAAGCTGCTGTGCACTGCTACCTGGACTCACCGTGTGGGTTTCATTTTTATTTTCGTGAAAGTATTTCTTCTAAGAATTATTCCAGCCATTCTGTGTAATTCATTTCCAAGTGAGTTGTTTTTTTTTTAATTAGAGAAGGGTGTGTGCTTATGCCAGAGAGAGAGGGTAGGGTGGGGGGAGAAAGTAGCCCGTCCGTGGGAGCTGGTCATCCCACAGTCCCCTTTTTCTCCGTTTTCCATCCCATCAGGATCCTGGGCACACACACGCAGGCACACTCTTGCACCTGGCATGCTTTTCAAGCCACTGGGGCCGGAGTTGAATCATTACCATGTGGGCTGCTCCCCATGCTCAGTACTTAGCCATTGCACTGTGGGGCCGGCCCTCCAAGCAAGTTAATCAGGTCTCTGTTGCTTTTTCTTCTCCTACATACCCAGAGGTAGTATAAAGAACGTGAAAGGTGCCAAAGGAATTATTTTTAATTTCCAGAGGGTGTGCACTTTCATCAGAGAGGTACAGAGAGACCAGAGGAAGGAGGCACTCGCAGTGGGGCAGTCACACCACAATCCCCTCTCGCTGTCCTGTCAGGATTCGGCATGTGCTCACAAGCACATGCACCCCGCCTGCTTTGGAAGCTGCTGGGGCTGCGACTCAAACCGCAGAGTCAGCCCTTGGGCTCCAACTCCCTTAAGCACTAGGCCACAGGCCAGCCCCAGAGGAAATCTGTTTATGTCACTGTTCCCTGAGAGTTCGTCCTGCACTGGAGAAGTCCTGCTCTTCATCTCTCATCTCTCAGTGTTATTCCTTTGCCTCCTTCAAGGAGCCAGGACTCTAGATGTCTTACCCTGGATCAGTTTCTCAGGTGTCAGAAAGGCTCCTGTGGCCTTAGCTGGCAAACTTGTCATGAATCCACTTAATATGAATGGTTAGTTTACAGGCGAAAGCAACCTATCTGAAAAGTGCAGAAGCCCGTAAGTAGTACCTTGGTTAAGGCACTAGATTCCCAGATGGTGACCATGGTTCAGGTCAAGGACCCAGCAGCTTAAAACTCATGCCGGGCACGTGTGTGTGTGTGTGCCTAAGACCCGAGAGGAGAATGGAGGAGAAGGAATTGCAGTGTGGCCATTCCCCCTGGGGGATGATTTCTTTCTTTCTATCTCTGTCTCTTCAGCAAGCACACACACCCTATAACAAAAATCTCTCAAATAAAAAAAAAGAAAAATGCAAACTACCTTTCCACGTTCTGTTAACTTGAATATGTGACCGATCAAAAAATTTTTTTTTCTGTCACACTAGATGAATGTGTATATGTGGGGACCAGCAGTTGGCATCATGGCAATGTTGCTGGACTCCCATGTAGTCAACTGCGGTTCGAGTCCCAGACCCGGTGGCTTAAACTCACGCTAGGTGCATGTGCGTGCGTGCCCAAGATCCTAAGAGGAGAATGGAGGAGAAGAGATTGCGGTGTGACCATCCCCCCGGGTAGTGATTTCTCACTTTCTGTATCCCTGTCTTTCTGGCGAGCTCACATGCCCTATAGCAAAAGTCTCTCCAAAAAAAAGAAATGTGTATTTGTGTCTTTTTTCTTGACAGTTTAAGTCGAATCGGTGATTTATATCATTGAATTAATCTTAACACAATACATCAGCTATTCTGAAAGAAAGTGTTGAACATAGAATTATTTCTTATTTTTCAAAAACTTGAGAGATCATTTTGGAACTTATACCCAGTGCCCTTACACTTCAGGTTTAACAGACCCATGCTATGGCTATAAATCTTAGATTGCATAAATCTCTCATATTCGGAAGAAGGCCCTCATGTCTGCTTTCCTTAGGAGTGCTTCCTGCCTTTTGCTGTGGTGTTGCTGAAAGCGTGGTGTGGTGGGGAGAGGGGAAGTGAAAGAAGTCCGACACTTCACTTTGTACAACTGGTGAAGGCGATGGTCCGGGAGGAGGTTCCGTGTCCCTGGCGTGGATATCTCGCTCACCCTGGTCTCCAGGAGACCACGGTATTTGGCTCATGTCAAGAGTCATTGCCTCTGAGGTTCCCGCACCAGTGCTCGGCACGCTGTCCGCTGTGCTCTGGTAGGCCACACGCTCGAGTCGGGGCCACGCAGGCAGACGTGCGGTCTGCGTTTGCTCACTGGGTACCTCGCTTGTCTCCAAGCGCAACCAGCAAAAACGGGCAGTCCTCAGACAGTTTCAACGAACCTGACGGTGCGGTGGCTGCTTCTCATGGATGATTTCACTTCACTGCTTTACAACAGGCCTGTGGTTATCATGCTTTTAGTCTAGATGAGGAAACTGAGGCACACTGAGATTACAAGCTCATTCGTTCGCGCTGCTCTGAAGCAGACCGAGCCCAAGCGCTCTTAGATGCCCTGGACTTGCTCGCTCTGCGTGCCTCTGTCACCTTACGCCCAGCCTGTGTGATGGCCTAACAGGAAGTGCAGCTCTAGCCGTGTCACTGCACTACCCCAAGCTGTGGGCCTTGTCCAGATCTTCTCCTTGGTAAGGGGTAGTCGCCTAAGAAATACCCGGCAGAAATAACGGGAAGACCTCGGTCATTTAATTAAAGTAAAACACACGTTTTTCCCTCTGCAGACGGCAGCACTTCTGATGAGGGAGCAGGTAGAAGAGTCAGTTTGTAGTAGCTCAGTCGTGAAGCGAGCCTTATTCTGATGGAATAAAAAGGCAGTGCCAGGAGTTTATATGGCCTGACCACAGCCAGCAGCTCGCTGCTCCCCGTTTTCTGCTTTGCTGAAGCAGGAGAGGGGCAGGCAAACTACACAGACTGAGAGAACCGTGCTGGGAGCAGAGGGCTCAGGCCAGGCACCCAGGGTGAGTGGTTCTCGATGTGCTCGTAGCCCTGCCGTCCCCAGCTGAAGAGTACCCCCACCCTGGTTGGAGCCCTGGAGCACCCTCCGAGAACCCACATTTCTCAGAGGATTCCCAGAAATCCTCTTCTCTGAGACTAGTAAGGCCAGGAACATTACAGTGAAATATACAATGTAAGGTAAGAAAAAGTACTTCGTTTTTGTTTTTGTTTTAGTTTTTGCTATAGGGCATGTGCATTCACCAAAGAGAGACAGGTGGGGGATAGGCACTAGTGAGAAATCACCCTCAGGGGGATGGCCATGCCACAGTTACTTCTCCTGTCAGGGTTTTGGGCACAAACCTGGCACGATTTCTAAGATGCCAAGTCTGGGACTTGAATCACGGAGTCTTCCATGTGAGATCTGACTGCCTTAACCTCTATACCACCTGCTGGCCCCTTTTTGGTTTTCAAAGTCTGTCTCTTTATGAAAGAGAGAAGGAAGGAGAGGTATATTACCGACAAGAGCTCACCGTGCAGAGTTCCCCAAGAGCTCTCCCAAGCCTCCCATCTGGCCAGTTACAGGCACGCCTGTGCGTGTGGCACCCTGTGGCCTGTGCCACCACAGCTGGACCAGCTATTTTTAAAGACTTTCTGAATTGTGTTCTCAGTTCAACCTGCAAGTGTCAAATGGCTGTCACTGAGGGCTGTGCTAGGTACTGGAAAATGTCCTTTTCTGGACCAGCCAATAGATGGTGGTTAAGACAGCTGGATCCTATATGGCCAGCGAGGTGTTTCAAGTCAGGGACCCAGCAGCCTGAAAAACATGCTGGACACACGTGTGTGCATGTGTGCATGCACCCGAAATCCCGGAGGGAAGGAGAGATGACAGAGCGGGAATGGTGGTGTGATCATGCTCTAAGGGGAGTGCTTCCTCCACTCCCATCAACACGTGAACTCTGGCAAATTAAAAACAGACACACAAAAAAGAAAAATGTCATTTTCTAATTAAGACATCATCAAGAGAGGCTATGTCAGTAGTCTATACTAAAACGTTACTTATTGTTACAGAGCGAAAGGACGGCGTAGGGTAGATTATTGGAAGCCAGAGCTCATGCTAGTTTTCAGCTTTTGACTAGATGAGGAAAAACTTTTATTGTTAGTCTTAAGAAATTGGTATTGCAAGCTCATTATATTTAGGAGACCCTAGAGGTGTGGTCCTGAGGAATGCGGTGTACTAAGTGATTGA